GTTTAGGATTAAAGTTTGAGTTGAGTTTAGGTTAAGGTTAGGGTGCACTAGCACTGGTTAGGTTTAGAGTTACTGCTAGGGTTAGGACACAGAACAGGTTGAAAAAGACTGAAAATCAATGGAAGTCAAGAGGATTTTAACACATGATGCTCCCTGCATATGCAGCAAGATGAAAAAGTGTGTTTGTAGTGTATTTGTTGCCTGGTGGGTGAAAAGGACCATTTCCTAAGAATGTCTAGCTACTTTGTGGGGACCAGTAACCAGTCCCCATGAGCAGCCTCGAAATGGGTTCGGCCCTGGTATTTTTCCATCTACACCAAATTTCGCCCAATTTGATCCAAAGTCTATTGATCTCTTAGGCCATAGATATAAAGAAAAACATTTTTACCCATAGACGGCCATCCTAACCTGCCAGATTGGGAAACATCCCAACCTGGCAACAATGCACGTAAGACAGGAAATGTTCGCCTTTAGATGAAAAACCCCATCATGCACCGCAACATATTTTTGCTAAATATTCAAACATAAATTCGCCAAATATAAGAGGAACATCGTAGTTTGGTTTAAAGAAAGCATTTTGGTATTATAAAATTTTGTTTGTTGCAAGGATTTTACAGTTTGAATAGGAGTTTACAGTTTGAAGAAATAGAAAATTACTCCATATGCCAACCGTCACAAGGATGTGCATGGACATGGACAGGGCTATAAATACTGCATGCATCATTGAGGTATTTATCATTGTATTACTTCTTGAGCCCCTTGAGTTATTTACTCTCACAGGTAGGAGCCTCAGACAGAGAGTAAGTTGGAGTCGGAATGATTAAAGAAGGGCCGGTCCTCGCAAACTGAAATTAGGACCGGCCCACCGGGCAATTGCCTGCTATCACAGATTACCAGTCCGAGCCTGCCCATAAAAAAAGTTTTCTTTTAGGGTCGGAGGCTGTACTTAGGACTGAGGTGTGAATTGGTAGTGGTTATGGGTCAGATCATAGAAACGAATGGAAGTCAGTGGATTTTGGCATATTTACTAACCTTCTGAGGACCAACAGACCTTGTAGGGATAAAAGACTCAAATCAAAATCAAATCAAATTTTATGTATATAGTGCTTTACAACAACAACAGGAAGACCAAAGTGCTTTACAGAAAGAAAAACACAGCAAAAAAAAAAAGAAATTAATTCATAAGCATAAAACAATGTGTCTGAAGTATTAAAAGCCAGTTTAAATAAACAAGTCTTTAATCTGGACTTTAAAAGGTGCAGATCAGTGAGAACCTGCAGACCGAGGGGCAGGTTGTTTCACAGTTTAGGTGCGGTAACCACTAAGGAACGATCGTCCCATTGTTTATACCAGAACCTAGGGACGTCCAGAACCATCTGATCAGCAGACCGGAAGACTGGTCCTAATATATGGACCATTTTCTCTGACAATATTTAATGAAGAATCAAGGACCTCTCCCAAATGACTGACGGTGTTCTTAAAAAAAACGAGATGTAGCAATGGTTCTTTTGCACCCTAAACACTATCATCCCTGGTTGTTACTTAACCAGAGATGCGTGCTTAATTTGCTGAAAGTCTATCTGCTCGGTGCAGGTCAGTGACCTTGTCGCTGCAGTTGAGTGCTTAAGAATAAAGCCACCTCTGAAACGAAAGCTATTTATGTTGTGTGTTCAACCATATTTCAAATTTGTTTGTTTACAATCTTTGGGCCACTCTTGTCTTTTAACCTCTGTGCACCTATCTTTTCTTCTGCTTTCATAAATCCAAGCAGATAAAGATTTCTAAATGTGGGGAAAAAAAGCCACATTGGCTTAATTCTGAGAGTCAGAGGGAGAGAATAACAGCTATCCTTTACTTTGAATAACCAAAAACCCAATGAATAATAACAGCAATTTACAATGAAGCAAAAGAATTAGTGTAACTTCTTTATAACCAATGATGTTTAAACCACACATTTAAGATATTTTAATGAAAATCTCCATCACAGCTGGAAGTTTTAAAGCTAATTCTGCTTTAGCTCCATTTATCCTTCCATTAACTCTGATCAGCTTCTCTTCCTCGGTTGAAGAAAAGCCTCCCCATAGCATGATGCTGCCGCCTCCCTGTTTTAATATGGGGATGGTTTTATTGAGGAGAATGTGCTCTAGTCCTCAGTCCAGGTTTGACTAATCTGTTGACTAAATCTTAAAATAAGGTCATTTTTTTATCCTATTTTGGCTTTTTTAATCTTGGATTGCATGACTAATGGTTCGTAAGAGGTTTTCCTGTAAGCTGTGGATCTCTTGCCTTTTTCTCTGTGAAGGTCTGAGAAAACATCAGTGAACAGTTATATTTCTTTCTGTTTATATCTGTCCTGTTTTTCAATATAGGACTGAGAATTGATGTCCCACTGCTGAATAATAGCTAGTGATGGGTTGATGAGGCGTCATGAAACGTTTCGACACATTACCAAACTGTATTGATACTGTGTCGATACTGTGTCACTGAATACTGACACCTGGTGGACATTAAAAATCCCTACAGGCAACCTAGTTGACAGAGTTAACTGACACTGATTTGATGACCTATTATATACAATAATATGATGCAATTCATTGTATGATGCATTGTATTATTATTAAAACATATTTGATATTTTAGACACAGTCAATGAATAATGAGAACCTGCATCATAATGTAATAATCTCTAAGTAAACATGTAGTAAATGAAGATGGTTGTTCACTGGTATTTTTTTTTTTACAATTTTTTATTCAAAAAAATAAGTTGTTGCAACGTTTTGAAATTCAGTCTGTTGCGCTTTTTTGATATTAGTTCTCCAGCTGTGGAAAACACCCGCTCACACGGCACAGATGAAGCTGGAGTGCACAAAAATTTTAAGGCCAGGCGGAAGAGGTTTGGATAAACCGTCCTTTGGTTTTTCCAATATACAAGAGGATCCTGGGACCTCGCAATATTGCCCTCTGCCATGTATCTCTGCACCTCAAGGATGGCATCAGCTGTGGCACGTTTGGTCTGCCTCCCCACTTCGAGATCAAAATGTTCCCAAAGGTCATCTTAAAAAAAAAAAAAAAAAAAGTATTTTAGTACATGATTTACAAACAACAAAGAAATGATGCTCAATATCATGCCTGAAGTGGGGGCAGACAGCTGTTGTGAAGATGTTCCCGGCTGGGGCTCATTTGAGCTTCCAACTATTGAGGCACATTCTGTCCGCAGCCTGCTGTACTTCCATTTTCACCCGTTCCCGTTCCTCCTCGTACTTTTTGGCCAACAGTTGTTTGATGGTCTGAAAACCACACCAAGTCAAACCAGAAGAAAATCAATATATTTAAAATAAAATTGATGAATAAACTACCACTTTAGATAATTTCCACACAAACCTTTCTGGTTGGCAAAACATATGAGGGCTCAAGGAGCTGAACCAGCTCCCTGAAGCCTTCATTCTCCACAACAGCGAGGGGCTGGCAGTCCTTTACAATGAAATTAAGCACAGCCTCATCAAGCATCTGCTTCCTGGAAGCTTGATGGTTAAAAATGAGAAAGTGTAAATTATTCAGAATTATCAATAAAACAAAGTCAGTAAGTTGTAAAATACCTGAGTTCATCATGGTTGTGTCATAGATTTCACTCTCATGCTTGGCCCTGTAATGCCTCAGCATTGAGGAGGTGCTGTTATTTAAATATGCAAGCTCTGTTGAGCAATTGCGACATTTAACCTGTAGAAAATAACACGAACAGTAAACTAAAGGTCACTTTGAAATGAATTTCTACTCAGAAAATCAAGTGGAAACTCTGAGAGGAACAGGATGAAACAAGGAAATTAAAACAAATACCTTATTTTCCGAAATGACATCAAAGTGGTCCCACACGGCAGAAGCCTTTCTTTTTGCTTGAGGAAGCTCCATAATTTTTTATTAATTTTATATTCGCAAAACACGCAAGATTGTTTTGGCAGATGCGCTTCCTTATAAAGGCTTGTCAATCAGTTCGAAACATCGGTCACGTGACCGATACAGGAACTGTTTCGGTCACGTGACTTTTCCGTAGCGATACACACGTCGACACAGGTTTCGCTCTATGAGACCGACACATGCGCCGCCGCATCGGTGTTGCCCGACCCATCACTAATAATAGCCCCACAGATTAGCATTTACTTGTAAATTATCATGGCCGTTACCATAAGGTTCCACATGTTAATTGTGTATGAAACATTCTTAGAAGTGGCATTTAGAGGGTATCATATGCAATTGACATGAAGGTGGAAAGGGAGCGGGGAGAAGAATTAAGGGGAGTGAAGGAATAAAAGAGGAAAATACAGAATAACAGAAGTCTACTTCCACCTATAAAAATCAAGGAAGAAAAGGGGGGGGGGGACCCCACACCAATCTAAACAAGGGAGCATTCTACAGACCTGCAGTACATTCATTAAAAAGCAAAACCTATGAAAGCTGAAGCTTAGAATTAAGATAATTTTTTATCCGTGACCAAACACTTGTAGCATGAGTGTGGTTGTGCTGTAAAGCTTCCTTTAGCAAGACGATATGCTCAATAGCAGGCGTGAGGGGCCCCAGACCCACCCTACAAAGACCCCAGGGCTGACAGAGAGGAAGTTTTTACCTTAACAAGATGTTAAAGTAAAAACTTCCATCCCACAAAGGTTCTTTATTTTGTGTTGATTCAATGAAAAATCAAAAAAATCATAAAATCAAATAAATTAGATAATTCTTCGTAGTTGCAATATGGGAACATATGTGAAAGACTACATGGCTCGTACCTAAAGTCATGTAAAGTGAAGATCCAAACTTTAAATATTGAAATTAAATAGGAACAATTTTCTCCTAGCACTTTTACATATAAATATTTTATTTTTCAGGAAGAGTAAGTATAACATTTAAAAAATTAAAGCAGATACATAGACATAGTTTCTTGCTGATATTCACCTTTAATTCCTATAGTTTGTTTTCACATAAAGTCTCCTAATGATTCATGTCATTCTTAGCAGCGAGAGAGGTTTCTACGACACAGTGACACCGGCCCCAGCCCTTCATGCGACTGGCCCTCAGTAGATGCTAACACCTCACCCACTGGTGGAAGATCTGTTAAAGGAGGCAGCTGCTCAAGGCCGAGAGCATGGAGTGTACGCACCTTCCAGGACTTCCTCCCTCCGCTGCCGCAGCTTCACAAAAAGTGGTGCAGTTGGAACTCCACCAGTCCCTTTACCAAGCTGGTGGACGTCAGTACTTGAACCTTTGCTGTGACTGATAATCTGGTAGTTCAGTTGAATACTTTAAGTCAGCTATCCTTTATCTTATTTCAGGCCCCATCCAGTTTGGTCCCTGATTGCAGAGGAGGCGACAGCAGGAAGGTGCTCTCTGATGCTCACCTGGAGGCTCAGGCAGACACCAGTATCATCTCTGACTCCTCCATCAGCAACGCTTCCTATCCCCTCACACAGCCCGCACAAAGGCAGCGCCGCCTCAACTCCACCAGCAACCTGCGTCGCTCCAGATTCACAGGAGCTTGTTTCGGCCTTCTCTCCGAGACAAAAGATCCGCTGAAGGGAAGCGGCATCCCCCCAGGCTGCCCCTCAGATCCCAGCCCTGGCTCCTCTTCATGTCACATTGAGAGCAGGGCGGCTGGAAAAAGGCAGGATTTTCCAGGTGAGGATGAGCACATCAGCGTGCCAGTGTTCGCCATCACTGAGGAAGAGGACAGGCAGCCACTGGTCTCAGCTCAACACCTGGAGCAGGCCTTTGTCCCGCCTGTGCAGAACGGACTGGTCAGAGCCAAATATGAGAATAACAGGCCTCCTGCAGGGAGCATCAGCCCCAAGAGGGTCAGGCCAGAGTGGAGGCCATGGGGGAGTCAGGTATCAGGAGGGGCTTTTACTGAGACGGATTCACTTCATAACAGCCAGCCCTGTTCTGTGACGAACCACATGTGACAAGGTGCCAATGAGCAGAGACTGAGCCGACCAGATCTGAATTTCTGAACATTAGTGGCACTGCACAAATATATCCATAAACAACTCAACGTTTACAAATGCATCATACCCCATAGTCTCCTGTTGGTCAGTTTTGTTGTTTTTTCTCCAAGGCAAAGAAAAAACTACCAAGGCAAGGACTTTTTACAAGCAGGAACAACATTCCTTTATAACCTTTAGCTACTATATTTCAGCTGCTGCAATTTATCTGTTGATTTACGCTGTGGAGGGAAGCACATTTCTGTCTCCATGTGTTTGTTTCTGATCAACTTAATGATTATAGAGTTGCTTTTATCCACAAGTATTATGTAGGACATAGCCAATCCCTTTATATCACTACTGTATCAGTTTATGTATACTCCTAAGATTTATTCTGGATTATGAAAGGGAAATTAAAATACCATATTAAGTACGAATAGTGACCAATATGTAGAGCAGACACTAGCTCTTAAAAAGGAGTTGTTTATATATAAATAAAAGTTTAATAAACATGCTGCCGTTAACATGTTCTTAATTGGGCAAAAATACAACTTCTCTGGGATGTTCTCTCAAGACTCCTTTGAAAACCCATCTCAGGTGACTACCTCATGAATTTTGAGGAAACGCCAAGCTGTATGAAGGCAAAGGATGGCTCTTCCCATTTATTCGCTTTATCTCTACGTTAATTTGGATGTTTCTCTCAAAAATAAAGAAAACCAATACAAGGGAAAGTGTCAAACTTCTGACCAGTAGTTCTAAGATGTTTGGTGTAATATGGCAAAGTTAAAAAAAACAAGAGTGAAAATAAAGTCACAAGGAATCCATTAAACAGCCCTGCATGTTTCAAATGTCTCCTCCAAAGTAAGTGATTGGATTACAACCAAAAGGTAATTTGAATCAGGTTGAATCAGTAAAAATGATTTACAATCATAGGGTTGACCGTAAAATAGAACCTTTTATAATGAAGGAAAAATAAAAGAAACCAACCCAGACTTTCCTAGATTTACACATTTTAATATATTTAAATGAAAACAGCATACAATTCAAATTTTTTTTGTTGTACTGCCAATACAACAGAACAGAAAACATTCCTTAAAGCCCCACGCCTAATCTCTGCATATTTCTAACAATCTAGGATTGAACTATTAGTTGATTATAATCGTCATTCATTCTTAAAATAGTGCACTGCATACAAGTGTTACTTTTGTAAAGATTTACATCTACCTAATGAAAAACGCATGTGTAACTTCTTTTTTCCCCCTATCTAAATCTGACTCTAACATCGTTCATTTCTGTGTGATGTGATGAGGTAGAATAAATTCTGCTGATTAACTCCTGAGCAGCTCTGTTCACACTTATTTTAAAGAAAAGGGGATTAAAACCATTGCCTTGAAATACAACGTAAAAAACAACCCACCAGGCCACAAACAAAAATCAAAGCGCTCCAGGAAAGCGGCTAATTCCAATTCCTGGTTGGAGCCGCTTGATACTGCTGCTAGCTTAGAGATCTCCTGTAGCAAATTAAAAGTGGTCTGAGTGGAGGGGGGGGTGGATCGGGCCTGAGCTGCTGAAGAATGCCCATAGACTCAGCATGGATTTAACAAAAATTAACTCTGTATATATATATATATATATATATATATATATATATATATATATATACACACACACATAAATCGGGCTAATAGAAGGTGCCTTTATAACAAAACATTTTCTTCTTCTAGATTTATGCTTGCCTTAAAGAAAGAAAACAAAGGCAAAAACAGTCACATCTATAAAAAAAAAAATGTAATCATCTCAATTTGTGCTGAAATTACTTCCAATAAATTTCAGGAAATTGATCTTTTAATGATTATAAGATTTTTTATTTTGATTATAGGCACAACATGTCTCAGGGTGTCTGATTATGTTTTAGACTCAAGAGTGCGAAACATTTGAATCTATTTTTATGTACAACTAAAGTACAACTATGTTAGTGTAAAAGATAATTCCCATTGAAAACTGACAGAAACTTTTCTAAAGTCAGCTTTAAATATGTTCTACCGTACTTCTTTACGTCCATCACACTAATGACCCATGACAGGGTCAAAGAGGAAGCTCAGATATTATTCATTTTGATATAAAAAGGACTCCTTTTAAACTAGGGAAACTATGACAGCCTTACAAGGATCTTAGTGCATTTATCCATCTTTGCATTCTGAAAGAAATTGTGAACCACTAAATGGCAGATCTGTAGTTTGAAAATAAAACAGCAGCATCGTGTACCTGAGGAGCGATAATAAAAGTTCGATAAGCCGATCAGAGACCCGATAACTAAGCCTCCTGCTGCGTCTCTATAGGCTTCATACTTTAACAGTTTCAGGATTGTGGAGCTAAAAGACTAGCAGCTGCTTTGAGTTTACTTTGTTTTACCTGAAATCCAGAGGAAAGCTGTGCGTTTCATTATAGATTAACACCTTTAAGATTTCCACTCTGCTCTATATTACATCATCAGTTTGAGATGAATATTCTATTAATCTCACCAACCTAAGTGACTAGCAACACAATGATCCCTAAAAAAACATGAAATCCTTAAAAAAATAAAAATAAACCTCTTTCCTAACATGTAAGGCCTTTTTGATGAGTCCCCTGCTTCTTTGATTGATTGAATTGTCATTCATTTCAGTAATTCAGTTCCAACATACTATACTTTTTCCTTCCACTCAACTTTTCGTGTGAGCATACTGCCACCATCTTTTTCAGTGATGACTGCTTTCTATGCAGACCGTCTGTGACCTCTTAGTTGATAGTAACGGGGCATTAAATTACTATTTATTGTCATTCAATATTTTCTTATTTTGTTTTTCTAGCTTTTTGAGTAACCCTCAACTTGTCAAATTTGGTGTTTTCGTTAGTCACAAACAGTATTTATACAAATAAACACTTTAAATATTTAACCAAATGACAGATTTATGAATGACTTTCACTTCTTGAACTGAATTAATGAAATAAATGAACTTGTCCAATAATAAAAGAAGTTTAAACGCAGCGAGTTACGGAAAGCCTTAAATATTCAATTGAGCGAATTCTTTCCTAGAATAATCCTCTCATTAAAAAAGAAAAGAGCACATCGATATGACTTTTTTTTTTTAGCTTTTTAGAGGGAGACTGCACACATGCATACATGGCTGTATTCCATACAGAAGCAGACTGGCTAGCATGCTCCTAAAAAAGAAAGTTTTTTTTTGTTACAAAGGATGATGGCGACATTAAAAAGGACATTTACCACCTAAATCAATTATTACTTTAACAAAGTTGATTATTCTGAGCAACACTACAAACCAGTAACTTAAAGGATCAACAGTTTGTCCAACATGCTCTTTATAGCTCATTATCTAGGCTGTGCATAGATTCTGTTCTCCTGAGGTCTGGGAGAACGTGGTCGTCATTGGAAACGGACACTGATTGTTAATATGTGCATTATGGTAATTGCATAAGGCAGCTGTCTACAACAGACAGAGGATAGCAAATATCATTTGTATTACGATCGTGTTTCACAAGTGCATGATTTATATACATTTGAGACAGTTTGGGAGAAGAACCAACACATGCAGCTCCTTCAGCTCTTGAAACGTGTCTGTTCACAAATATGGTTGAATTTCCTAAAGTTAGAAAAGAAAGAATTAGCTTTTTATGCAAACGGGCAAGAAAAAAATCTCACACAGAGCCTCAAGGGGAAGAGGCTGTTTATACAAGGTCTCCCTCTAGTGGTAAAACATATATAAACAGTTTATAACTAATCTAAAGATAAGACATAAAGAGGTGAAACTTCTAGTTTTTTTTTTTCTTCATTATGTGAAAGAACTTACACTGCATGATGCGCCTTGACCTGTGTGCGACAGTTGCGCCCCCAGTAACAGTCAGGACGAGACGTGACAGAAGCTGAGGATAAATAAACGCTATTGTAACAAAAGATGGATAAGATTGTAAAGAAACAGCTGCAGTGAATTCTCCTGACCTGGCAGTTCGGATCGAGGGATACTCTGGCGGTACTTGTAGGCCAGCTCTTTGAAGGAATGCAGACCGCAGCAGGAGCAGACGATTGTGTTTGCAGAGATGCGGCAATCTGAAAGAGATCCGGCCTCGTCAACAAGAGAACCGCCACGTGTTCCGCCCCAGCAAAACATTTGCTTTAAAAAGCCTTCGTTACTTTTCACATTTAGTCGCTTTACATAAACTATTTTATTGGGATTTTAAGTGACAAACCAACATGTTAAATATAGAGTTAGTATAAAGCAGCGCTTATTTCAAATCAGGGAGAAAAAGAAAAATGAGATTTTTATCAACTGTCCAAAAGTCACAGATTTGGAGATCTAGAAAGTGGATTCTTATGGTTCCCCATAAAAAAAAAAACCTTTAGATCATCAGAGTAGATGGAGAAAATAAAGTTTTTGTCGCAAATCTTAGCTGAACCAAACTCTGGACCTTAACAAGGTTATTTTAACACATACATATTCTTCGATTTAATGCATTGCATTGCTCAACGGGCGAATGTTTAGGATCCTCAAGTGTTAAAATTTCTGCTGAATTTAACAGGTTTTAACTTGTTAAACCATTTTATTGTAGCTCCATCCATCTCAGCTTCAAGTCCAACGTCTTCATCACTGCTGAAGAAGAGCATCCCCCCACACCATGATGCTGCCACCGCCGTGTTTTGTCTTGGCCTGGTCAGAGATGGAGCGTTTACTCCAGACATAGCGTTGAGCCAGGCGTAGACTGCCATATTTTCAATGGTTGCACGCAGCTACAGTTCAAACTGTACGAACGCTACGAAATCGCAGAGTTTAAAAATTCACAGCTCACAATGTATGTTTTCACACTTCTCTGATGTGATCTACCTGCTCACACCCTTCGTCCAAAAACCACGTCTGACTCAGCGCCAAGAAATGGCGCTGGTCGGACTCATCAATCTGGAAGAAGAAGAACTCCCTTGTTTGCGCATGCGCAGTGCAAGAGGTTCTGGTAAATTGGTTCGTAGACGCTTGTAGCTCTGCTTTAACAAGAATTTGCCCAAAAACTCCTTACGACGGCCGATTATATTTCAATCATGTTTGATTTTCTCCTGACCGCACGATTCCTGATCGGGAGA